CAGGCATACGTCGCTTTATTGTGCTTCACTTTCTTGCACTTCCCAAATATTGTGTTTTTTTAACAAATTGAAGGTTTGCGGCAACCCTACATCAAGCAAGACTGGCCGTGCCATTTTTCCAACAGCATATGCTCACTTTGTGTCTCTGTGTCACATTACCATTAATTTTGGTTATTCTTATAATAAAGAAAAAGTTTGAAATGTTACATCTGTTATGATGATTTGTGATCAGTGAACTTTTATGTTTCTATTGTAATTGTTTTGTGGCCCATGAACCACACCCATATAAGACGGTGAACTTAATTGGTAAATGTTGTGTGAGTTCTGACTGCTCCACCAACCAGCGGAGCATTCCTTCGTCTGTTCTCCCTCTCTGTGGGCCTCCCTATTCCCTAAGACACAATAATACTTAAATTAGACCAATTATTAACCATACAGTGGACTCTAAGTGTTCAAGTGAAGGAAGAGTTACGTATCTCTCACTTTAAATCAAAAGTTAAAAATGATTAAGCTTAGTGTGGAAGGCATGTCGAAAACTAAGAGAGGCTAAAAGCGAGGCCTCTTGTGCCAAACAGCCAAGTTATGAATGCAAAGGGAAAGTTCTTGAAGTAAATTAAAAGTGCTATTCCAGTGAACACACAAACGATAAAAAAGTGAAACAGTCTAACTGCTGACATAGAGAAAGTTTTAGTGGTCATACCAGCCACAACATTCCCTTAAGCCAAAGCCTAGTAAAGAGCAAGGCCCTAACTCTCTTTAATTCTATGAAGGCTGAGAGAAATGAAGAAGCTACAGAAGAAAAGTCTGAAGCTAGCAGAAGTTGGTTCAGGAGGTTTAAGGAAAGAAGCTGTCTCTGTAACATTAAAGTGCAAGGTAAAGCAGAAAGTGCTGGCATAGAAGCTATAGCTAGTTATCTAGTAGATCTAGCTAAGATCATTGATGAAGGTGGCTGCATTAAACAACAGATTTTCAATGTAGATGAAACAGCCCCCTATTGGAATAAGATACCATCTAAGACTTTCACAGCTAGAGAGGAGAAGTCAATGCCTGGCATCAAAGCTTCAAAGGACAGGCTGACTCTAGTTAGGGACTAATGCAGTTTATGACTTTAAGTTGAAGTTGATGCTCATATACGATTCCAAAAATCCTAGGGCCCTCATGACCTATGCTAAATATACTTGGCCTTTGCTCTATAAATGGAACAACAAAGCCTGAATAGCAGCACATCTGTTTACGGCATGGTTTACTGAATATTTTAAGCCCACTGTTGAGACTTAAGAAAAAAAAAAAGAGATTCCTTTCAAAATATTATTGCTCCTGACAATGCACCTGGTCACCCAAGAGCTCTAATGGAGATGTACAAGGAGATTAATTGTTGTTTTCATTCCTGCTAAGACAACATCCATTCTGCATCCAATGTATTCAAGAGTGATTTTGACTTTCAAATCTTATTATTTAAGAAATACATTTCATAAGTCTGTTGCCATAGTGACTCCTCTGATAAACCTGGACAAAGTAAATTGAAAATCTCCTGGAAAGGATTCATCATTCTAGATACCATTAAGAACATTTGTGATTAATGGGAGGAGGTCAAAATATCAACATTAACAGGAGT